TTATTTTGTGACAACAGTCCTCCTTTTTACGTGATAGTTTTCTTTCAAACCACGCAGAAGAACACTTTTAAGAAAGTAATCGTATTTAGAACCCTTGCATGTGTTACGTAGAGGAAAAAAAAAAACAAATTTAACTTTTAAAAAGTGACTTCTTCTTTTGGTGCCACGACAAAAAAAAAAAAAAAAAAAAAAAAAAAAAAAAAAAAAAAAAAACTCAGTAATCATAATCTTAAACTTTCAAATCAAAGAGAAATCAAAGGAAAATATCCTCCCTGGTGTTTTGTTAAAATAAAGATTATTTATAAAAACCAAAATTCGAAAATGCATTTCCACAACAAAATCTTTAACACGCTATCTCTCACTAAATTAAAATTAATTCAGATCTCATTGAAATTTCTAACCTGAAAACACACGAATTTCAACACAAATCTAGAGATAGCCCTAAAAAACTTAACATTTAAAATACCACTCAGATCTCTTCAAAACACCAAGGAAAGATACATCTCACACTTAAGAAGTCTACTCATCAAAATCATAATAAATTAAGTAAGCCAATCGTATAGTCACCAACACTTAAACTGATTTTCCTACTACCGCAATATGGTTACCCAGGTTCGATAAAATAACCATGTTCCGTAAGGATCACATGGGTGACCTACAGTAGACCACAATTTCACTCAAAGGAAACAATAATAAAAATAATAAACACATTTATTGAATATTCCCACACATTATAATTTAAGATAGCTGTCCAGACTACTCCTACAAAACATAATCTTAAAATTTACTTATTATTTCAATCTCATTTTTTTTACATAATTGACGTCATACAAAATCATAGTGAAACCCCTCAATATTAATCTTTTTAAAACATGAACTCAAGAATTAAACTCATCACAATTAAACATTTAAAACATAGCTAACACTTTCTCAACTATTTATTATTCATAACAATTTCTCAACTATTGATTCATTGATTAAAATAGTCGAATTCTAATCTACATAAAAAAAAGGTCAGCTAAGCTTTAGAATTTATTACTTCAAAATCCTAAAAATTACCTATAAAAGAAAACAGAGTAAAAATAAAAATTTTTGCTCACAGAATCCGCGTACATTAGTCTGAGAGCCTCGGGGAGGTGCCGGGATCCAGTCACAAAACGTCGAAAACATAACAGCCAAACATCATCGACGTCCGGAAAACCGATACTGATGTGTGTTCATAGCATAACGAGAATTCTCTTATAGCGCCCGCACTATTCGGTCCAGCAGCAGTTAACTCCAAAAAAAATAATAATAATAAGTCTCCCCTTTTATTTCGAAGACCCTCTGAAGATAACGGAAGGAGATGGAAAGCAGGAGATGACGACTTCCCTCTTTTTCCATATTTTTCAAAGCAAACTGGAACTTCAGCGCGAGCAATTCAGAACTCAGCTCTTGCACACATAGAAAACGTCAGAGACATCATTAAGACGCTGGGCCTCTTAATCATGTTCCCAGATCTTTTTGCCAATTACGCCGAAATTTAACCGCAAGGAGCCCGCGACAAGCTGGGACCGGTCAGCGCTGCCAGTGCCACGGAGATCATTAATATTAACCGTAACCGCGGTCGCCCCAAGGGGTCGCCGGGTAACGCTCCTCTCAAATTCGATCAAACTGGACCAGATCTCACAAAAACCTCGCGAAAATCCCTCTTCTTCTCCCTTGCAACGACTTAAGAAAACTCGGTTTAACCTCACCAAGAAACGCCACAAAATCACTATTGGCTCAAACAACACTAAAATTAAAAATTTAACCAATCTTAAAGAAACTTGGACTCCCTCTAGCCAACTCGAAAAAAGGTAACAAATAGCCTCTAAAATTCTCAGAAATTCAGAACTTTCTACAAGATGACAGACCCTTTCTTTCCTACGCAACAGAAGAATGTTTTCAACCTATAACTCTGTCAAAAAATGGCCGCCTCTTAGAACTATTCGCCTCTGAACGAGCAAAACACGTGTTTTCAACCCCCCGCGAAAAGAGGAAATGAAGCTGGGCATTCTGACCCCTAACCTCCAAAAAAAAGCCAACCGTTTCGTGAGGAAATGGAAGTACACGAGCCTCGCCCTTTTTTACTGTAAATCACACTATTCTGCCAATTTTAAAATGAGCTTTGCCGTAAAGATTAACAATATTAAATATTATACATTAATTTTTAAATAAGCACAATACAAATTCATTAAATACAGTAAAATAATACGCAATAATTATACACAAAAAAATACATAAGAATTTTCCATAACAAATGCGGTCGGAGGGAGTATCTTTTGAATAAATTTTTGTGAATATTTATTCAAATATTATGAATAACTTGAAATGCAATTAGTAAAGATTTAAACAGGATTTCAATGCAGAGTTTTCTGTTTGATTAGGGAAGTAAACTTACTTTGTTTTACTTAGCCACTTCTCCACTCAATAAAATTCAGTAAACCGTCCAAAAGCGGTCTATTTTTTTAAAACAGAATTTGAAAGAAAATTGCATTTTTAGATTAATTATATGTGAAAAATCACTCATATATCAAAAATAAAGTATGTATATCTATAAACAGAGAGATACATACATATAACAATTACAATTACCGCTGTAGGTTGACTTTCTGAATACACGGAAGTATGAATACAACCTTTTCAATACACGTAAGTAATAAGATTATGAAAGTTTATTAATTTGTAATAAAACTTTACAAAAGGAAACTTTTAGCAGATGCAACGCAATATATCTGCAAGAAAGCAGATGTTTCACTATGAATTCAATAAAAAGAAGGAAAGGAACAGAAAAGAAATGGAAAAGAAAAAGAAACCTGCTAACTTTCTTTCTTACGGTCAGCTAACGCCATCTAGAAACAGAGTACAGGATAATCAAAAACTAAAACTTTGGAAATGAGAAAGCAACAAACACCACAAGCCGGCCCGTCCAATAAACGCAATAGTATCAGTTGGTTCTTTCTCTTAAAAATCTATTATCGTTTTATACCCATAATACTTACATTTGTCCTATTAAAAGGTAGAAAAACTTTACTGACTTTATATTGCGTAGTGAACCGATTCACGGTTCCCTTCTCGTTACTACATTACATAACGTTCGCCTGCTAATACACTATGAACCAAAAGTTTTCTTGTTTACGTTCATTCCTCTGCAAAGCAGCGCCATGTACTTCCTTTAATTTCAGCACTCCCCACCCGTGAACACTTAAGTTTATACAAATCGAATATATAGTAGATCAATGCTGCAAAACAACCACACTGTTTAAACACCATCTCAAATTGCAAATAACAATCGAGTAATAGTTAAACACATAAAATCAAGACAGAAGAGAAACTTGCCAAAATAAAACATAAAATAAGCAACGCAACAACCTTGTGCTTGGTGTAAATTCTAGTCAAGACTCTATCGATTTCGAGGACAAACAGTTACAGGTCCCTCTTCATCAGGAGCAAAGAAATCTGCAACGAAGGTTTCCAAGTTCCGCTGGATGCGCCGCTGATTAACTTGCAGGATTTGCAAGTTTTGTTCCGGCTGTCTGAGTTAGTTGCTATAGAGCGCTGAAAGTAGGAGAATGCATGAGTGAGACCGTTAGTCAGGATTGCAGATGTTGAGAGGGCGTGACTGCCTTGTCACGTGAGGTGTAAAGTAGTCATTGATAACGTTGCGAGATTTCAGGTTAGAAAAGCTGAAAAAAACATTAAATATACAAAATTGCAGAAATAATTACCTAAGAGGGAAATTTTGGTATATTTCCGTTTCGCCGGCGCAAGTCTTGCCAACAGACTTTGTTGGCGACAACATACAATATACACATAAAACATGTTAGCAAGTGTTAATGCTAAGAATTTTTTATTTTGAAGGCATAAAGATTTTAATATGGTTTAAAATTTTGTAAAAAGCCAATAAATAAAAGCAATAAATTTGTAAAAAGGCATTTATTTAAGAATTTACAATGCTTTAATGGTTCAACATCCTGATTCGCCGGTTCTTATCACGTGACCCCAAGTGATCTCATCTCACGTAAACTACGCTAGAAATCTCAGTAATTATCTACATTAATTTCAAGTTAAATCTTAATTTAGAATAAAAGTTTAAATGCAAGAATTATTTCAATTCGTACGAATAGCTTACTCAGAAATTACGTAAAACCGCAGTGCTTTACTTTGCTAGTGCATTCTGATTAGAACTGATGAATTTAACACTTGATTTTTGCCTTTTCTATATTTTCTCCTTCGGGTGAGCGGTGTGATTGCATTCTAATTGACTTAATTACCGCGAATTGTCTTAGAACATAAAATTTAACTATCTTGTAAAAATTCTATGTAATTGTATGCCAATATTGAAAGAAACAATCAATCTGATAAAAAATGGCTGCGACTTGTTTTGAAAATGAGGCGTAAAAGGTTACCCGCGAAGATATTCCGTTTGGCATCAGTTGTACCATTCTTGGCGACTTTATCGTTTGCGCCGGCAAAACGGAAAAGTACCGAAATTTTTCTAGTAATTATCAGAGTATGCAACGAAGGGAAAGTCACTGTTGTATTTATACCCAAAAAGAGTAAAGCGAAAGAGAAGGTAGCGCCATCTGTCAGCAGAAATAGTAACGAAAATCTTCTTTAGTTAATGACTTAATTAACTAAACAAGATAAAGCTTGTTTAGTTTAAGACTTCATCTCCAATCCAGTTTTTCCTAACACTTTTAAAACTCTATTAACTTAATTTTTCAGATTTCAGAAATATTTATTTCGACTATTTACAAAAAAAGAGTTGCCGTTATGATGTACAGTTAAAACTGTTAAACTTTTGATTTTACTGATTAGGATTTACTAAATTCTGTGTCTTCAGCTTGAAGCACTAGCCTCTCATGATTAATATTTAAGTTTAGAAAGAATTAAATTTTCCGACTAATATTTTAATTGTGTTTGTATGGATTTGCATTACACACAAATGCATTTGTATAACGAAATTTTTTTTACAGGAAATATTATTCAGTCATCTTGGATATTGTATGCTCTCCATGCTATTGTTCTATATTGTGGAGCAAGAAGTTTTCAGAAAATGTGCTAAAGACTTTTTCAAGATGATTAAAAAAAAAAAAAAGAAGAAGAAGAAGAGTTGAACAAATTTGCCAACACATGTCTTTAGTTCCATTTTAAACCAGCTACGAAAATTTAACTTCTATTTCAATAAATATGCTGACTGATATGTGTCATACATTTTGAGGAATGCTAAAATTAAACTGAATTTTTTTTCATTTGTTTCCCCTTTTTCGGTAACACCATCACAATGGAAAATGTCTTCACACTATAGAGTCTTAATATGAGATCCTTATTATGTAAAACTTCTATTAGTCTTACACAGATACATTTAAATGTATTTATTGTTCTTCTAGTAATACATATAATGGTGATAAACTGCTAATTTACGTTTTTACATGCTGTTAAATTTCAATTTATGATGGGCTTTTACTATGTATTGTGTATTGTCTTGTTGATTAAATAAAGTATATGGATATTACAGACGTTTGTTTCTTTAATTGGTTATGACAAATAGCAGAAAGGCTATCTGCCTGAGGGAAGGGATGCCTTCATGGAAGGCTTTCTAGAGGAAACTGGTTTGTATTCACATTACATATGGTAAAAACCACGAAAAGCCCGATGCAGCCAGCCCATTTACTAGGATTTGAATGCAGGTGAAGCTTTCAATAATTGCAATATGTAAAATGTATAATTGGGCATGTTTAGGAACAGAGTACTGATTATTAATCAGAATAAAGTAAAAAGAAATACACTGCTCGATATTGGGCAGTGTATTTCTTTTTATTTTTTTATTTCTTATTTTATTACTTTTTATTATTTTTTCATTATATTTTAAATTTTTATTTTATATATTTAGCTGCTTTTTATATATTTATTGCTGAAAAGCAATAAAATATTTTTTAGAAAAATTCAGAGCTTTATCAGAAATATTGATCAAAGTTTTAAAGGGGGGATATCAGTATAAAAGAAATACACTGAAAAATAGATAAAATGCTACACCATGAAGTTGTGAATGCAGTACCATGCAAATTGTAGAGTGGATGCACTGATGAAAGTTATGCAGATAATTAAAACTTCTGGCCAATTACGCGAACAGCATGAGTTATACAAACAGAAAACTAAGATGTGAAATTGCCATTTATGATGTCGTCCAGGGATAAATAGAAAGGGCTAGCTCATTTCTTTGTTCGACACCTCGCCGACGCGAGCCTAATGGGGGGACTTAACAGGCAGTAATCTGACGTCACTATGATGCCACCTGTTCTGATTTCCCGCGTTTAAAACTGTAGTTTCATTCAGCTGGGAGACGATTTTCTAGAGGTTACATATCCCAAATTAATTTTAATCATATATATATGTTTTCTAATAATGTATATATTTAAAATAATTTATATATATGTAATTTTAGTCAAGTTTTTATTTTAAATTCTATATTGTAAAGTACCGTTTACGTAATATGGCTTTTTGCGCTGTAGTGAACGTGCCGTAGCACTTACAGAAGTACGAAAGGATGAGATATATTTATTTCATGGGAGACCAAAGGATTCCAAATTTAGATTTTGCTTTTGACGAAAAGAATGGATACACAGATGTCAAAGACAAGATTCTATTAATGTGAAGAGCGGAAAATCTGCAGCGAACATTTTCTATGCAGTGTATATGAAGATGATATGAAAAATCGCTTGTTTGGATAGCCACAAAAAGAAACTGTTGAAATGGAATGCTGTGCCGAAAGTAAATTATGATGACAATAATAAAATCGAAATTGATGATGACCATAATAAAAAAAAATTTAATGATTTTGAAACTCACAAATGAAAATGTAGATATTCCTTGAAGTGTCTGGTCAGTGGCGTAGCGAGGGGGGTGCAAGGGGGTGCGTGATGCCCCGGGCGCAGCTTATAGAGGGGCGCCAAACGGTCTCCAAACAAGATTTTCCGGAAAATTTCAGCTTTTACTTTGATTGATTTCTAGAAAATATATTTAAAATTAATAACTATTTTAACATAATTAATTTTTTATTTTCTTGATTTGTCTGATAAAATGTGTAATAAAATGCTTGCAGTACATCATCCAAAACGTTCTTTCTGACCACTTTATTTCTAAAAAGTAGAGATATATATTTAAACGAAATGCTTGTATATCTCCCGCTTTTTATTTGAAAACGATAACACGACCTTGTTATCGTTTTAAAATGAAAACACGACGTCCAAAATCCGATTCCATAATCTGGAAATGACATTTTGGGAAATTCGTAACGCTTCCGCAACAATGGATTGCATTTGACTCTCCTGTAAACGACTAATGGCCTTCCTGGCTACCGATTCAACTAAGTCATCTTGCTGAGACATCGTATATTCACTGCTACGAAGCACTCAACGCATGTGAATTGTTTTTAATCTTCTATTACAAAAGGAATACTGCAGGTCGCTTCTTACTCCTTATCTAAAACGCATAGTTTTCGACGTCACAGACTAAATTTGCATATTCCCAAAACTTTGTAAACGTTATAATTTTCCTTTATAATCTCTTCTATTTTCTTTTGTTCAAAAAGGTTATCGATTATATGGTTATTTCATACGAAACCCACAATATCCCCTAATTGTTTTGAGCAGTGAATGTGACTATATGACGTTACTCCCACAGTAGAAAAGAAACGGAACCTAAGAACTCTACATTACAGAATTTATAGAGAAAATGTTTTTCCAAACCTAAGAGTCGCACTTCAAATACTACTTACTATTTCATTATCAAATGCTAGCTATGAACGTTCGTTCAGCAAATTAAAATAAATTTTCACATATTTATAATCAACGATTGGAACAAGATCCCTAAGTCATCTAGCATTTTTAAGTGAGGAAAGAGAAAAAAATTTGAAAGGATCGACTTTGATGAAGTAAATGATAAATTTGCATCATCCAAGGTAAGAAAAATGTATACAAAATAATTAATTTTATTCATGTATTACATTAATATTAATAAATATAAGAGTCCGATCAAGTCGAGGTGCACGTGATTGAAGCGAGATGAGGACAAATTAAAATTTTTAAGTTGGCTGGTGGTGTGTCTGACAATTTTAGATCTTTGGCACTCCAAGCACGAACGTGTCCGGTTGGCTATGTCCTTTTGCATGCTAGGCCATACAAAATGTTGAGATATCAGTTTCCTCGAAACCTTGATGCCAGGATGTGGCAGACGACATAACTGACTAAAAATGGCATGGCGAAATCCGGAGGGAGCATAAGGTCGAAATCTTGAATCCTGAACATCACAATGAAGTGATTTTCCAGGTGACAGCTGCATGGGTTGCAAGTTGAGATTGGTGGAAGATTTGCTTTTCAAGAGGGTTTGTAGATTCTGAATCCCGGTGTTGTTTCATCCGCAAGGGCAGCAAAGTTTATTGGCGAAGGAACGGCTAGTCCTTCAATACGAGACAAGATGCCTGCTACAATATTCTGCGAACCTGCAATATAACGGATATCTGTTATGAAGTCTAGGTGTCTCATTTAACGAGGAGAAACTTTATCCGAACGCTGTTGAAAAGCATAGGTTAAGGTTCTGTGAACTGTGAAGATCATACTAGCATATGCCGAAAATATTTGACAGCTTCATAAATTTCTAATAATTCGCGATCGTAAGTGTTATATCTGGTTTGTGCTGGTGAGAGTTTTTTAGAAAAATGATGATATGAAAGTGGTTTCCATAATTCTTGATCTTTCTGTTTTATTTTAAAACTGCTCCTATACCTGCTGTTGATGCGTCAAACGTGTAGAGATATTAGTTTATTTTTTGGAAGCAGAAGAGATGAAAAATATGCAACGCCTTCGCCGGGAATCGAACCGCGGACCTCTGGAGTACTGGCCCAGCCTGCAGAACCACTACACCACGAAGGCACGCTAGGAAAGCGGGAGAAATACCTTATATGCTCCCCTTTTTAAAGGGCCCCTGGGGATTTTAGGGGACCCAGTCGTAAATCCTGGGTGTGGAGAATCCTCATTCCACACCCCTTTTACTTCGGGCGCCACTGTACAGACATTAGGATATTTGGAAGCAAGAGAGATTGAAAAATTAGCAACCGCCTTCACCCGGGAATCCAACCGCGGACCTCTGGAGTACCGGCCCAGAGTGCAGATCCACTACACCACAAGGCACGCTAGGAAAACGGGTGAAATACCTTATAAACGTAGAGTGATAATGGTTTAGATGCGGAAGGATATTGCAAAATTTGTTGCCGAAATTAAATCATTTTTGGATTTTTCGGAACGCTTTCGTGAGATTCTGTGGTCCAGGTTATAACACGTTTATCGTTTTGCTTGATTCCAACAAAAAAAAAGAATTTAGAGGTGTTTGTATGGTTGCTGCCTGAGGTAAGAAACGTCGATAAAAAATTGAGCATAGCAAGAAATCTTCTTAAGTCCTTCACTGTGTAGATGGTTCGGGCATATCGCGGATAGCGGTGACTCTATCTGGAAGGGGTCGAACGCCATCAGAGGAAATTTCATGACCAAGAAAGGATACACTTGGTTGGCCGAAAACGCATTTGGAAAGATTTAAGACTGACACTGTACCTTTGAAAACGTTAAAAAAACTGTTCTCAAATGTGATAGGTGTTCTTGCTCTGAAGAGGAGGCGATTAAGACGTCATCAAAATAAGGTACACAAAAGTCGAGGCCGTTTAACACCTGATTCATGAAGCGTAGGAACGTTTGAGCAGCATTGCATAAGCCGAAAGTCATGACCGGAAACTCAAATAGTCCAAAAGGCGTAATAACCGCAGTTTTTGGAATATCAACTCAGTTAACGGGCACTTGGATGTGATACGCCCGCTCAAGATCAATGGTTGTAAAAATAGCTTTTCACTCTAAAACTTGCATACAATCTTGAATGTGAGGGACT